GACGAAAGAATGCACTCATTATACTTGGACAACTTTGAATGGTGGTACTTGTTGGATGAAAAAGGGTAATGTTTCCAAGGCTGATGCATTCCCAACTAATGATACAACCATGGTCTGTGGTATTAACAAGGATGGTCAGGAAGGTATACCGATTTCCACCATTCAATGGAATGGAATGAATTGGGCTGCATCCTGTGATTTCGATGGGAACGATCTGTCTCGAGTAGAAACTCCACCAGAGCTATGTGGTCCGGCATGTCTTCAGACGAAAGAATGCACTCATTATACTTGGACAACTTTGAATGGTGGTACTTGTTGGATGAAAAAGGGTAATGTTTCCAAGGCTGATGCATTCCCAACTAATGATACAACCATGGTCTGTGGTGTTAACAAGGATGACCAGAAAGGTGTACCGATTTCCACCGTTCAATGGAATGGAATGAATTGGGCTAGATCCTGTGATTTCAATGGAAACGATCTGTCTCATGTCGAAATTTCACCAGAACTCTGTGGTCCGACATGTCTTCACACGAAAGATTGCACTCATTATACATGGACAGCTTTGAATGGTGGTACTTGTTGGATGAAAACGGGTAGTGCCTCCAAAAATGACGCATTTTTAACTAATGATCCGGATATGATCTGTGGTATAATGGCAAGTGTATGACGTCGGGATACAAAGCATTTATGACATTTTTGGACTCGCTTTTACAGTGTTCAATATTCGGAGTGTACGATTCTACATAAAAAGACAAATACTGTTTTTTTTTGTAAATATTTCAATGTTACGCCAGCATACATTTAATTATTTCAAAATAAAAAAGAACTAAGAATTTTTTTTTTCAACAGAGCTCAAATCTGCTCCATGAACTGATAGCCGGTAAATATGAGACTTTAGGCTGATCAGAAACTACGCTGACGAAGGGCGTGAGTGTGAAGTCAAAACTGTATTGAAGACTTAAAATCTGATGTAATCTAAATGAAAACCTGAAGAAAAAGGTCATCAATTTCATTTTCTTCATGATCCACACTGGTAAAACACCACGAATCAGATGAGAATCGTATATGATGAGGAGAGATATGAAACACGTGTGTTATAAGGGTGTGGTTGTGGTGGTGTTGATATGGACGTCGAGTGTGGATGTGTATTTTCTTTCTATCAACATTCCACGCTCACCCTTGTATTAAGATTTATTTAAAGTGCTCCTATTGATTTGTTCGCGTTATAATAATAATAATATTATGATAAAGTCTTAAGATATATTATTTGTGTGAATAGAATTATTTTCAAGAATCGACTCAAACGACGTATTAAATGAAACTATTAAACGCTTATTGCAAGAGAAGATAATTTAACAATTTAAAAAGAAAATATAAGACAATTAATGATATTCTAGATGTATTATGTTATCAATAAATATATTGACGCCATAATATTAATTATCTTTCTTTCTAAAAATGAAGTTTATGTTAATGTGTGTAATTTAATAATGACTAAATTTCAAAAATACATTCCATCCTGCATTTTTTTCGAAGTTTGAAATTCAGTTTGGTTAAATAATCATAAATGATTGCGGTGCTCTATTGTTTATTTTAGCAAAGTAAAGGCTAATGATAACTAATCACGCTCTGGAAAACAAAAGATTACTTCGCCATGCTTGCTTTATGCTTTTTTTTTTACTAAGAACTCAACTAAAAGTATTTCAATTAGCTGACTTACATGAACTCAACATTCTTTGCAGGAATATGTATTCATCGCAGTAGTTATTTTTATCTATTTAATTGACAGCAGTGGAGATAATTTATACAAATATCATACCAGAACTCGATCTTTATTCGAAAAGGAAGTCATCCATAATAAATATCCTATCTTGTTCAAAGTTTTTGGAGATCCGTAGTGTATCCCGTTCGTTTTCGTCTGTTGATGACCATGGATTCATCCTTCAACTAGTCAGCTTTCGTTTACATCTTTCCTAATTTCGAATACGAAGATCGTTTAGAGATAGTTTCTAAGATTATCGCAGTGTCATTACTTATCTGCATCAGATAAACTTTAGCAAAGGGTGGATGGCTCACTTACATACTCTCAAGCGCATCTTTACAACTATTAGTCTGTCGTGACTAATTAAGACTTCTTATTTATATTTTACTATCTTGTTCACAACTACATAATATAACAACACAACAACAACAACAACAAATAGTCACGCATCATTTAAACAAAAAATAAGTAGGTCTAATGACCAATGGAGAAAGAAGAGAGATAATGGTCACAGATAGCGCCACTACCTAACAACAATCATGCCTAGAGCAATCATATATCCCATCTTTGAGACTGCATCTAATGAATGATTAAAGTTTAAGATGAAATGTCATTGTATTTTATCTTGTCGAAACCACTGTAAAAGCGTGAATAAACATGAACAGAAAAGAGCTCCACATCACACATCCTGAATCCAAAGTATGCAACTCTGTATTGAAAATCACATGGATCCTTCTAACATTTACTGAAAAAAAAATACCAAAAAGGTTTCTTCAGTGAATATATATTTGAAAGTGCGTGAACTCTTTGACTATCCTATCTAAATTGATTGAAAATAAGGCAAAATACTGAAGCATTTAGATAGAGCAAGTGATAATTTGAAAATTGGACAGATAAGTAATAATATACAAGAAAACAAAAAAAATACTTTCTAGTTGTATCCATCGAAAATTACTCTTTGACATTTATTTTAGTATGTAAAAAACGAATTTGTTTATGAGAGAGTGTGTGGGTGTTAATGATTAATGAACCCAACACTTCCCCCTCCCCACACTCTCGAGTTGATGAATTTAGATTAACAATAATTTATTAAATCAAGAAAATAAATTTAAATTAGCAAGGATTTGAGTGTAGATTAAATTAAGAGAAAAATGTCATGCCTATCAGGGACTGAAAATGAACCGAATCAGTAAAACTCGGTTCGATTCGGTCTCTGATAAGCACTACCGGTTGAAAATGGTAATCGATCATTTAATTGATTACTCAATTGTTTAGCATTAATTCCACGAAAACTTAAACTTAACGTACTGGGTGACCATTGTTCATTTTCATTACAAATAAGGAACTTTTTATCATAGTCGTTGAATTATTTAATTAAATCTTGACAAAGTCTAACATGTGTTCGTTTCAACTGTTCAATTCTTGTATATAATAAATATTTATTTGATATTAACTGACAAACTTTTCCAAAACCAATTATAGCTAAAACATTTTGACTATCTACTCGAAAATCTTATTCATGTTGTACAGAACGAAATATGGATACTAATTTAATACATTGACGAATATAAAGTGCAGCAATTTTTTTGAGTTCATGAAATTTTTGTGAACATATTGTTAATAACTGAAGACCAATACGTGATACATCAAATGGAAATTTTCCCATTGTTTGTAATGCATCACTATGAATAATGATATCTGTTAATGATGAATATTGGTGACATATTTTCACTATATTTTTTCAATTGGTTGAGTTGAACCTAAATAAAAAGATTTGTATGAAAATTTATTTAATAAACAGGGTTTAAAAACAAATCAATTTCATTATTACTATAAATTATAGTATTAAGTGTTGTTTTGAGATTTTAATAATGGACGAAAATATTCCATATTTATCAACATTAACATAAGATATTTGAAGATTTTTCTAAATATTTGATTATTTTTAAAATAGATGAATGTTTAAATTCAAATGGACCTGTTATAGTATGTTGGATTTTATCAATATTTCATAGAAGAATTCCATATAAAACCAAGTTCTCTCTCGATATGTATATGACGGTATGTCGCAAAGTTAGAAAATCACAAATATATTTATCCAACCTGATTGACATTAACATAAACTATACTAGCTCCTTTGTTTTCTATTTTCTATTTATTACTAAAGTTTTTGTTTTCGTTTCTCTTTAACAAAGAATAAAAAAGCAAACAAAATAGTTGATTGTTAAAACAGAAAATTTTATAAGGCATAGTATTAAAAACAAAAAAAAAATACTTTCACATCGAATATTTGTTGTATCACATTGATTTCGTTGATTGATGATTGATTGTTGATTATTGAGTATTTTTCTTAGAATTTCATAGTTATTTAAAAACAAATTCAACAATGATTAATAATAATTGAAAATTTAAATAGAATATTCAATTTTATCATTACAAACAAATAAAAAAGTCCTTGACGATAAGACAAAAAATGATTTGATTCTAATTTAAAATTTAAAATATTATTCTTTCTTAGAAATAAGATTTAATTGAATATAAAATAAATCAAACATAAACCCTAGAATAAATCGAGAGAAATTTTTATTGAAATTTATTTAGAATCTTTCGAATTTCGTCTTTTTCTTGTACTCTTATTCAATGTTGAATAATAGAGAGATTTGTTTTTTATTTGACACATTAACATTGCTATTTTTCGTATTTTGCCCAAAAATGAAAAATAAAAATTGAAATTTTATCGATTAATAAATAGTATTTTCTCATCACAATTTATTATTTTAATATTGATGATTCATTGAATATTATGATTATAAATAACGATAATCAATATGATTGCTTTTATTTATTTAGAATAAGTTAAGAATTTTCTTGTTTAAATAAATAGATTTTATTTCATCTTTTTAGAGAAATCAACACAAATAAAACAACTCAAGTTCATACAATGAGAAATTCGCCATAAGTTGAAAACATCAAAATAAATCTTACAAAAATTTGTATTAAAAGTAGGGTGTGCTTTCTTTCTCTTCAGTCACACCGACGGCGACATCGATACCCAAGTTCTCAGGGTATGTACCCTTCGAAGGGCGGTGTAGTGAACTTTAAAGTCCCATTACTCAAAGCCACTTATTAGCGACGAAGTTAGTATGAAAGTTGACAACCTAGAAGACAGAAAATGTGGGACACGACATCTTGTCTATCCATACCCATTCGTGCACATCTAAATTATGTAACATATAAAGCGTATAAAGACATTAGTAGTTATATATACATTTTAGCTCTGAAATCACCATTTCTGAGGAAAAACCACTGTATGCTAGAATGAGATCTCACCTATAACTGTGTTTTGATTAAATGATGGTGATGAATCGTGACTATGACTAAGTTGGTCACAGTTTTTGAGTCCTTTAAAAACCGAAGATCTGATATCGAGATTGACGTAGGTTTCACTTGAAAATTTTTTTCTGTGGGTATATGAAGAAATCGATTTATAAGATTTCGACTCGAAACTTTGCTCATATATAGCTCTCATAGCCATTAGAATGTACTAAAAATTTCAGCTCAAAAGAATCTTTCCTACTTCATATATTGAATGATGAAGAGAGTCGATTTTCTGCCTTTGCTCGTGGCACATGATCGTATTTCAGATGTCCAATATATGAAGAAGGATATATTCTTTTAGGATGAAATTTTTAGAACATTCTAATAGCTATGAGAACTATCTATGGGCAAGGTTTAGGGTCAAAATCTTATAATTCGTTTCCTTCATATAAGCCTTGACACAGGTCGAGAATCTAGTCAAACGGTCAGAATTTAAGGAGTACAGGGTATGGAAACGAATCCTTTTACACTTTTTCTAGTCTCATCGAGCTCTACAAACTGATATACATCCAATTCAAAACTGTGCGTCACAATTGGATAGCTTTCTTCATCAGTTGTATAATTTTTTGTTTAATTAGTCAAACAGGTAAATGGTTTCACTGAATTTCGCGTTTCGAAAACCATTTCACGAGTATGATCTTCCCTGGGACGAGACGGAACACGAAATCTTTGAAAATATTTCGTCCCATCGACCAGAAGATTTTTGAACTTTGTTCCATCCTATGTGAGATATAAAATTTAAAAACATTGTTCCAGCTCATAGAACTATTTTTTCTGTCCTATCTTATCCCACGAGGAGTTCTGATGCATTTACTTCTCTCAGTATCAAATACGGAAAAGAGAAAATAAACACTGTAATACCGGAATAACAACTAATCCAACATTGCAGGATAAAAAGCAAATAAGTATGTATGCACGTGATACGAAGGAGAGAAAAGAAATGTGTTCCATTAGGATACTCTTCGGAAGGAAAAGAAAAAAGCGTGTAAAGAGAACCCGTCTGTACATTCTTGTTTTGGAAAGAAAAAAATTGCACAGCTATATCTTTTTCTTTTCTCAGATGCGACTAAAGATAAGTAAAGAAAAGAAAATCAAGAAGAAATAATGAATGAATACAAAACACAATAGAGTTAACTGAGGAAATATTCAAGCGGGATCGAAAAGTCTTTTTATGAAGAAAAAAATCTGAATATATCTGCTTTATTTTCATCAAATCGTCTGTACTCTTAGCACTGATAAGATAGTATTGATAGGCCATATTCATAAGAAAAACATGTACACAAAATTGCTTTGAAGCATCATCATGGACTTCAATAAAAACTTGTAACCCTTGACGAACGATGGAAAAATTTATATTGTAGTTTGTGTAACAAATTATTACTGTTTATGGCCGAAAATTTCAGAATACAGTGAGCAACAAGATGTATATCTATGATATAAATTTCCCACCAAATGACGGTTCTGTGAAGTATTAATAGAAAAACATATGTATAGCTTACTGTCGGCTAAAGAAACCATTATATTACTTTTTAATAAGTCGTGAAAAGGTATAATTCTTTACTGAGACTAATGATGATACTTTAAAGGGATGTTTTTTAAAGTTTTTCTTATGAATATAACCTATCAACATTCCCTTGTCAGTCGTAAAAAAATCAGCTCATTTAATCAAAGTACGACAAATATATTTCATTTCTTCGGTAAAGTGACTTTTGAATTACAGTGTGTAATTGTTTTGAAACCTTCATGTTATTTAATAAGTATAGAATAAAGGCAGAGGTGAGAATGTGTGTAGTTTAAAAATGGACCGTATGATTGAAGATTCTTATCGAGTCTGCGAATCCCTAGACACCGTAAAGAAAGAAGTTGTAATGACTTAAAGAAGGCTGAGCTCAAAAACAGCTTTGCGTGTTTGAAATACACGAAAATCTAAAGAAGGATACATAGAGTGAAGGTTCCCGAAGCAACGAGTAGAAATTGTAGAGTGTGGATGAAGAAAGAACACACACCAACAATCCACATCCACCACACCAATATGTGAACTGAGGAGTGCAACAAACTCAAAGCTTTGGGATTTGTTAAGATACTGTAACATCAACAACGATCTACTTCACTAGTGGTCTGACTCAACCAGAAAATGATTGTGGATTTTGGGATAAGATTAGAAACTATTTATGTAGATTTAGTCCAAAAGTAAATCTGTCCTTCAAATCCAAACACAAGCTGCGAAATCTAGATCTAAACTCAAACGTAACCTCCGAAAACAATTGAGAATAAAATCCAATTGCCGATGGTTCCTGAGTTACCGAATGTATGAGTGTTTTTGGCAGTTAAAAACGAATGTTATGCTCTCAATTTTATTATTATAGTTATTAGTATTTATGATATTATTTTTTATAATTTTGACACAAAGTAAAAGAACAGAAGAATAAGAAGTTTAAATTCATCAGAGAAAATGACCTCCCTCTAGTACTTAGTATTTGTAACGTAAGATCATCGAACTAAACTGTAAAAATTTCGGATGGATCGAAGTTATTTGTATTAGCTTTTCGTTTTGTCACCTTAATAAGATTATAAACCAGACGACATTATCCGTTAGTAAGTTCGACGCTGTCAATTGCTAGTGTGTAGATTCTTGGTTTCAAATAATGTGATTCGCAGTCAAAGTTTTTCTCTTAGAAAATTCCTACAGTAACCTTAGTCGAATCTATCAAGCCGAGTCGCACATTCTGACACTGAAAGAAATAATAAATTCAGCTTTCTATAAAAAGTTATCATCTTCTTTGAATTTTTGAAATATACGATAATAACGTGCCACTTGTAGTCTTCATTTTCTAAATATTTGTATTATAAGAGATTTTCTATTGATACTGCTACCAAGAGGGCAGAAGATCTTTCTTCTGTTGAAGCGTTCTCTAAAGTCGAAAGGATTTCACAAGAAAAAAAGATTAATATTTATTATATCTGAATGGACGAATTATTCTCGTTACATATGACATGCATTCCAAAGAAGAAGGCATCTTTCTCTGCATACGAAATTTCTTCTTGCAATTATATTGATTTTACACCTTCATTGATATTCTACTCATATTTTAGATCGATCCATGAAATCAACAACAAACGTTTCACATTTTATTGTATTTAGAAATAAGCATATCAAACCATCGAAAAAAATTTTCTAAAAGTCTAATACGTAAGATTGGTATCGTTAGAAAGAGCGCAAAAAACTGATTATTACCCTAGAATATGAGCGCGGGGTATAGAATTATACATTGGCAGTATTCATATGAT